GCTACCGCGTCTTGCAATGGTTCGGAGTTCCGATACGCGAGAGATCCTAGGCGTACAACCGGTGCTTCTGCAGATTCGGAAGTCAGAACTGCGATTGTTTGGAAACGTCCTTTAAGTGCTTCCCGAAAGGAAAGCGAAACAGCTACTAGTTGCTGAATCAACTGACCGAAAATCCCAGAGAACGTCAATAATTACCAAGCACAAGTGTCTCGACGGGTTCTGGTCAAGACTTTGATTACCTTCTGCCACAGCTCAGACGGTGACGAAGGATCGAGATCGTTGGAGACACCGTGTGGAGCACCTGCCTCCGCGACCCAAAAGGACAAGCAGTCATCTAAAGTGGCTAGCTGAATAAATGCAACATTCGCTCAGTTATAGCACCATCTGACCTTTCTTGTAGCGAAACTGCAAACAGCTGTTCATATATGTTAAAAACAGAAAACGCACCTTACAGACTTAGACTTGGAAATATACTACCTCTGTAGCATCTTACATGATTCGCAAGTCAGGCAGTGCTTCAAACGTTCCCGATCCTGTGCCAGCGTCTGAGATTCAACAGAAAACAACCGGAGTCTAAAGCAGTCTCCTTCCACATATTTGCACCAAGTCAATCTTGTCCGACCCCTGGGCCTTCTGCCGGTCCGTTGGGCAAACAGTAGCTTAATCGCCTTTCTTTCTGGAGGCATTCGCAACACGTGCCCAAACCATAGCAGCTGTGACTTCTTACTCTGAAGAAGCAAAGACTGTCACCAAGGCTCTTGTGAATTTCTGTACTCCTGACCATGTCGAGAAGCGTAAAGCCAGCGACTCTTCCATAAAGCTCATTTCAGCGGCTTTGACCCGGGACTGAATTTTTCACTTATAGTCCACGACTTATGACTGTAGGTAAGCATGGGGATAACGATTGACTTGAATACCGAGAGCTTAGTTTTCAGACTTAGCCCTTCTTTAGTCACAATGGCTCGGGCAAATTCTCGCAGAACGCCAGTAGCTACTCCAATTCGCCGGTCGATCTCTTCCTCAAATTTTTCATTATGAGTAAACGCGACTCCGATATGCCTGAACTTCTCCACTTCGTTCACTGTTTCTTTTATCTGCAGCGCGCAATGGAAAAAAAAGAAGAAAGCACTAAACTTTTCGCTTTAGATACATTCACACGACGCCGGCTACGTCCATCTCGGCAGCAGGAACACGATTTCTATATTTCTGGAGTACTGCTTATTTTTCTGCAATCGTTTTGTGTTTTTATCTGTTCCTCTGTAATATTGCACTTTGATATTTTTTAATTTTGCTGAAGTATTTTCTGGATTCTTTTAGCTTTCTTGACATCACTCTGTGCTGTTTAAAATTTGCTTCAAACAGAGAATCCTATTTTTATGCTTTAATACTAAAAAACTGGCTTCATTGGTGATTCCACTCAAAAGGCAAATATTCATTCATTCAAAAGAAAAATGCAGTATCTAACAAAGACACACCTGTGCTTGATAAAACTTCATCGGAGAAATGTCGCGGTAGGTGCCTTCGCATTTGTATTCAAAGAAGTTCACTCGGTTTGAAACACGTCTTCGATACACGCGCAAGTCCTCCTGTCGCAGCAGCAGTTCCCAGTCAGAGTCGACGGCTGAAGCTGAAGTTGTCTGAGAATCGTCGACTGAGGAAACTTGTTCACTGAGCTGCGCAGCGGCGGCTCGTTTCTCGACATGACCAGAGTTCAGAATGGCCCTAAACACGAAAGCTTAAATGATAAGTTACTTAAAATAATGAAAACAAACTTTACAATATACGACATCACAAGCATGCAAAAGGGCACCGGAAACAAAGCCAAAGCAATAATTCAAGAACATATCGATAGTAATAAACAGAACAATGCATAATATAAACAAATAAGAATTTGTACATATAGCACTACCATTGAAATGCATTGAAAAACTAACATTAGTTGTTTTGAAAGCTCCATAAGATTAAAGAATGTATCCTACACTACTTGAACTATGTTTACCAACCACTACTACATATAACTAATAACTAATATATACTAATCATACGTACGACACGTCGTTCATCTGCATCTCGGACTCGGAGAATCACTGATGAATTCAAGTCCGGTATTACGTACACTTATAAGCGTAACAAGAAACATCTCACCAGGGGCAGAGAAAGGATTGCGCTGCTTGACATTTTATTATACAAGCGAGAGTGCACGATCACTCGTGAGCAATGAAAGAAAACAAAAGACTAAAAGTTCATATACAGTTTATATATAGAGTTTACATAGTGGACATAGTTTATGTAGTATATATGGTTT